CCACTGCACTCCAGCCTAGGTTACAGAGCCAGACTGACGCAAAACAAACAAAAAACGAAATGAGGTTTCATTTCGTTGCCCAGGCTGGTCTTAAACTCCTGGCCTCAAGTCATCCTCCCACCTCAGCCTCCCAAAGCACTCAGATTACATGAATAAGCCCTTGTGCTCAGCCTTCAAGGATGCTTTCAATGTGCATCTGGGGGCCGGGCGCGGTGGCTCAAGCCTGTAATCCCAGCACTTTGGGAGGTCGAGGCGGGTGGATCACCAGATAAAGAGATCGAGACTATCCTGGTCAACATGGTGAAACCCCGTCTCTACTAAAAATACAAAAAATTAGCTGGGCATGGTGGCACGTGCCTGTAATCCCAGCTACTCAGGAGGCTGAGGCAGGAGAATTGCCTGAACCCAGGAGGCGGAAGTTGCGGTGAGCCGAGATCGCACCATTGTACTCCAGCCTGGGTAACAAGAGCGAAACTCCGTCTCAAAATAAATAAATAAATAAATAAATGTACATGTGGTGATGTTCCCCAGCTTAAACCCACCAATGAGAGGAAGACCTTCCAGAGCCCTCCACTGCCCACTGTGTGACCTTGGCTACAAGGTCCCTCTTAAAATCAGCTTCTTTATCTTCTACTGGGCAGGGCTTGGATTTGATGGAGAGGAAGGGTAAGGGAGCTATCAAGGGGGTTAAGCTAGAAGAGGGAGTTCAAATAGACTGCACTGCACAGCCCTCAGGCTGGCCATGAATGCAAAGCTTTAAATGGGATTAAGTGCAAGCTGAAAATATTCCAGACACATTTTTCACATTCTTGGCTAGTGAAATGTTTTATGTTGATGAGAGAAGGTAAAGCTGAATAGCTGAATACCAGAATGGGTCAAGGCAGAGAAAACAATTCCGCCTTAAAGAGACAGATCTTGTCTGGGCACTGTGGCTCATGGCTGTAATCCCAGCACTTTGGGAGGCTGAGGCGAGTGGATCATCTGAGGTCGGGGTTCCAGACCAGCCTGACAAACTGTCTCTACTAAAAACACAAAATTAGTCGGGCGTGGTGGCACCTGCCTGTAATCCCAGCTACTTGGGAGGCTGAGGCAAGAGAATCGCTTGAACCTGGGAGGCAGAGGTTTAGGTGAGTTGAGATGGTGCCATTGCACTCCAGCCTGGGCAACAAGAGCGAAACTCCATCTCAAAAAAAGAAAGAAAAAAAGAGACAGATCTTTTCTTGAAAAAATGTTTTTTGACACGGAGTTGCCCAGGCTAGAGTCCAATGGCACGATCTTGGCTCACCACAACCTCTGCCTCCCGGGTTCAGGTGATTCTCCTGCCTCAGCCTCTGGAGTAGATGGCATTACCGGCATGCACCACCACACATGGCTACTTTTTGTATTGTTAGAAGAGATAAGGTTTCATCATATTGAGCAGGCTGATCTCGAACTCCTGAACTTGTGATCCACCTGCCTCAGCCTCCTGAAGTGCTGGGATTACAGGCATGAGCCAGCAGCACTGGCCTACATTAATTGTTTCTTGGTTTTCTGTCCATCCCAAGAATGTCATCACCCTCAGGACATGAATATTTGTAATTTCTTTGTTGTTTGCTGCTACAGTCCCAGTGCTTCAAACAAAACCTGTCACACAGTAGATACTCTAAATTTGCTGAATTAATAAATGGGAAATCAACCTTAGGAAGCCTGGAGACCATTGGCCATTCTGGTTTCAGTTTTCTAGGTGAAATACAATAAGGATTTGGACTAGGGGAGGGATCGAGGGAAATAGATAGCTGTTGATAAGCTCACCTATCCACCTGTATGTCTCCCTGCCACAACACATCCTCTATTCAGAGACAGAAGGATCTTTTTTTTTTTGAGATGAAGTCTTGCTCTGTTGCCCAAGCTAGACTGCAGTGGCTCCATCTTGGCTCACGGCAACCTCTGCCTCCTGGGTTCAAGTGCTTCTTCTGCCTCAGCCTCCCAAGTAGCTGGGACTACAGGCGCCTGCCATCACACTCAGCACATTTTTGTATTTTCAGTAGAGACATGGTTTCACCGTATTGGCCAGGCTGGTCTCAAACTCCTGACCTGGTGGTCCACCCGATTTGGCCTCCCAGAGTGCTGGGATTACAGGCATGAGCCACAGCACACGGCCAGGATCTTCTTATTTATTTATTTATTTATTTATTTATTTATTTATTTTGAGACAGAGTTTCGCTCTTGTTACCCAGGCTGGAGTGCAATGGCGTGATCTTGGCTCACCGCAACCTCTGCCTCCTGGGTTCAAGCAATTTTCCTGCCTCAGCCTCCCTAGTAGCTGGGACTACAGGCACACACCACCATGCCCAGCTAATTTTTGTATTTTTAGTAGAGACGGGGTTTCACCATGTTGACCAGGATGGTCTGGATCTCTTGACCTCATGATCCACCCACCTCGGCCTCAAAAGTGCTGGGATTATAGGCATGAGCCACCACGCCTATTTGTTTGTTTTGTTTGTTTGTTTGTTTGTTTTTTAGATAGAGTTTCACTCTTGTTATTCAGGCTGGAGTGCAATGGCGCCATCTCGGCTCACCACAACCTCCGTCTCCTGGGTTCAAGGAATTCTCCTGCCTCAGCCTCCCGAGTAGTTGGGACTACAGGTGTGTGTTACCATGCCCAGGTAACTTTTTGTGTTTTTAGTAGAGACGGGGTTTCACCATGTTGACCAGGATGGTCTTGATCTCTTGACCTTGTGATCCACCCGCCTTGGCCTCCCAAAGTGCTGGGATTACAGGTGTGAGCCACGGCGCCCGGCTTTATTTGTTTTTCTTCCTTTCTTTTTCTTTTTTCTCTTGGAACCGCAGGCTGCTATGTTCAGGGAAGGGTCTTCTTTTTCTTTCTTTCTTTCTTTTTTTATTTTTAAGATGGAGTTTCACCATGTTGGTCAGGCTGGTCTTGAACTCCCGACCTCAGGTGATCTGCCCACCTGGGCCTCCAAAGTGCTTGGATTACAGGCGTGAGCCACCACGCCCGGCCCTGCTCTTCTTCTTCTTCTTCTTTTTTTTTTTTTTTTTTGAGGGGGATGGAGTCTCGCTCTCTCGCTCAGGCTGGAGTGCAGTGGCAAGGTCTCAACTCACTGAAACCTCTGCCTTCCAGGTTCAAGTAATTCTTGTGCCTCAGCCTCTGAGTAACTAGGATGACAGGTGTGCACCACCATACCTGGCTAATCTTCGTATTTTTAGTAGAGACAGAGTTTCATCATATTGGCCAGGCTGGTCCCAAACTCCTGACCTCAAGTGATTCACCTGCCTCAGGCCCTGAAAGTGTTGGGATTACAGGCCTGAGACACCACGCCCAGATAGAAGAATCTCCTCCTCCTCCTTCTTCTTCTTTTTTTTTTTTTTTGTAAAGACAGGGTTTCACCATGTTGGTCAGGCTGGTCTTGAACTCCCGACCTCAGGTGATCCGCCCACCTTGGCCTCCAAAGTACTTGGATTACAGGCGTGAGCCCAGAAGGATCTTCTTAACACGTAAATTGAACATTGTCTACCCTGTCATAAATCCTCCATGGCTTCCCAGTGCACAGTATCAGAAGGACACGGATTTAAAGTTTTTATTTATTTATTTATTTTGGTCTCATAAGAAATAGAGCTGCAGGGCCAGGCGTGGTGGTTCACGCCAAATTAATGCCGTGGGTTAATGATCACGATATATTTTTATGTGAAGAAAAATTAGGCAGGGCATGGTGGCTCACGCCTGTAATCTCAGCACTTTGGGAGGCCAAGGCGGGCGGATCACCCGAGATTAGGAGTTCAAGACCAGCCTGGCCAAAATGGTGAAACCCTGTCTTTAAAAAAAAAGAAAAGAAAAAAAGAAAAATTAATGTGTCAGGTGGCATCTTATTTTACATCTACATAGAAAAAAGAGAGGAATACAACAAAATGGTAGTAGTAATCTCACTGTTGGAATTACTGGTGAGGTTTACTCTCCTCTTTGGGATCCTGGAGATTTTGCAAAGGTTCTTTATTAAGTGCCTCACGTTTTTTGTTTTTTGTTTTTTGTTTTTTTGAGACGGAGTTTCGCTCTTGTTACCCAGGCTGGAGTGCAATGGCACGATCTCGGCTCACCGCAACCTCGGCCCCCCGGGTTCAGGCAATTCTCCTGCCTCAGCCTTCCGAGTAGCTGGGATTACAGGCACAGGCCACCATGCCCAGCTAATTTTTTTTTTTTTTTTTTTTTTTTTTTTTTTGATACGGAGTTTCACTCTTGTTACCCAGGCTGGAGTGCAATGGCGCGATCTCGGCTCACCGCAACCTCCGCCTCCTGGGTTCAGGCAATTCTCCTGCCTCAGCCTCCTGAGTAGCTGGGATTACAGGCACGCGCCACCATGCCCAGCTAATTTTTTGTATTTTTAGTAGAGACGGGGTTTCACCATGTTGACCAGGATCGTTTCGATCTCTTGACCTCGTGATCCACCCGCCTCGGCCTCCCAAAGTGCTGGGATTACAGGCTTGAGCCACCGCGCCCGGACTTCAGCTAATTTTTTGTATTTTTAGTAGAGACGGGGTTTCACCATGTTGACCAGGATGGTCTCGATCTCTCGACCTCGTGATCCACCCGCCTCGGCCTCCCAAAGTGCTGGGATTACAGGCGTGAGCCACCGCGCCCAGCTTGTTTTGTTTTCTCCCCATTGGAATTAACGTTGTTAATACAAACTACAATAGGTGTTCAGCGTTAAATTTAAAAAAAAAAAAAAAAAAGGATAAAAACTACAAGTCCCTGAAGACATCTCGCTGACGGCTTCTAAAGATCGGCCTTCCCCGTGTGCAATGATTTCTGGGATTCGTAGTCCAGTGACAAAATCAAGGCGGGACGCTCACTACCGGCCTAGATGACAGAGGGGGGATTCACTATCATTCCGACCAATGGACAGCTCACGCCGGGCTTGAATGGCGAGCGCATAGCCAATGGGTAAGCCGTTTAGCCTGAGTGACGTGGGTTGCAACCTACGGTAGGCCCGTGGGGCGGTACGGCGCGCAGCGGCAGTAGTGCGAACCATGGGAGGAGGCTGGTGGTGGGCTCGGGCCGCCCGCCTGGCCCGTCTCCGCTTCCGGAGGTCGCTACTGCCGCCTCAGCGGCCCCGGAGCGGGGGCTCCCGGGGGTCCTTTGCCCCTGGCCACGGCCCCCGCGCCGGGGCTTCGCCGCCCCCGGTGTCCGAGCTGGACCGTGCAGACGCCTGGCTCCTCCGGAAGGCGCACGAGACAGGTCAGTGGCTGGGGTTGGGGGCGGTGTGGATGGGACGGCGTCCCGGGCGCAGGTGGAAGCGCGACGGGGCGGGGGCTTCTGCAGGAAACGGGGCCCGGGCTCGGCTGCGAGAAGGGCTTCCGTGTGAGCGCTAGGGAAGCGCAGGCTGCAAGAGCGCAGGTGCCGGCAGACAGGACGGGCTTGCGGGGAAGGACGGGGACCCCGGGTAACCGGGGGCAGTAGGGATGAGAGGGGGTTGTCGGGTTGTTCGAGGCAGTCTCAGAATCGCGCCTGCCGTGAGGAGAGGGGCTTCCAGGGACAGCTTAGGGTCTGTGGAGTTGTATACAAGAAGGATCCGTTCTGATTGCAGGGGCCACCAGTGTTGCAGAGAGCGGGAGTGTGGATCCCCGCAGAAGAGGGGGAAGTTCAGGATTGGAGGAGGAGACAACCAATAGGGAAAAACCTCTCAGCTGATTGGAAGGGGAGGTGATCTAGGCTGCAGGGGGAGGGGCCTGTAGCGGAGGCGAGGTCCAGAATGGAGCAGATTAGCTATTTTTTTTTTTTTTTTTAATTTTTAAATGACCGTGTCTTGCTCTGTCACCTGGGCTGGAGTGCAGTAGTGCAATGGTAGCTCACTGCAGCCTTGAACTCCTGGGCCTAAGCCATCCTCCTGCCTCAGCCTCCTGCTTAGCTGGAGTTACAGGCAGACATCACCGGGCCCAACGATTTTAATTTTAATTTTAATTTTTTTTTTTTTTCTGAGACGGAGTTTCGCTCTTGTTACCCAGGCTGGAGTGCAATGGCGCGATCTCGGCTCACCGCAACCTCCGCCTCCTGGGTTCAGGCAATTCTCCTGCCTCAGCCTCCTGAGTAGCTGGGATTACAGGCACGTGCCACCATGCCCAGCTAATTTTTTGTGTTTTTTAGTAGAGACGGGGTTTCACCGTGTTGACCAGGATAGTCTCGATATCTTGACCTCGTGATCCGCCCGCCTCAGCCTCCCAAAGTGCTGGGATTACAGGCGTGAGCCACCGCGCCCGTTTTTTTTTTTTTTTTTTTTGAGACGGAGTTTCCCTCTTGTTGCCCAGGCTGGAGTGCAGTGGCGCTATCTTGGCTCGCAGCAACCTCTGCCTCCCAGGTTCAAGTGATTCTCCTGCTTCAGTCTCCTGAGTAGCTGGGATTACAGGCACGCGCCACCACGCCCTGCTAATTTTGTGTTTTTGGTAGAGACCGAGTTTCTCCTTGTGAAGCTGGTCTTGAATTCGCGACTTAGGTGATCTGCCTGCCTCGGCCTCCCAAAGTGCTGGGATTACAGGCTTGAGCCACTGCACCTGGCTATTTTAATTTAGGTAAAGATGGGGTCTCGCTTTTTTGCCCAGGCTGGTCTCTAACTCTTGGGCTCAGACAGTCCTCCCGCCTTGGCCTCTCAGTGTACTGGGAGTACAGGCATGAGCCACCTCACCTGGCCAGGACTGGGCATCTAGATAGAGGATGTAGTGGGCTGTCCACACCAGGGACTTGAATGGAGATGGACGTGGATGGGATTGGCCCAGGCCATATTCGGTAGGAGACGGCGGAATTTGAAGGAAAGGCAGGACGAGGCTAGAGAGCAGCTTGGGTTAGGAAACAGTTTTTTCCAGAGTTCTGAGAAAGAAGTGAGCTGGCAGTCTGTGGGGGTACACGTAGAGGGAAGGGGTTGGCCAAGATGGCTTTTTTTTTTTTTGAGGTGGAGTCTTGCTCTGTCGCCAGCCTGGAGTGCAGTGGTGTAGTCTCGGCTCACTGCAACCTCCGCCTCCTGGGTTCAAGCGATTCTTCTGCCTCAGCTTCCCGGGTAGCTGGGACCAGAGGCACGTGCCACCACGCCCAGCTAATTTTTGTATTTTTAGTAGAGATGGGGTTTCGCCATGTTGGCCAGGATGGTCTTGATCTCCTGACCTCGTGATCCGCCCACCTCTGCCTCCTAAAGTGCTGGGATTACAGGCGTGAGCCACCGCGCCCGGCCCCAAGATGGCTTCTAAGAGTCTGGACATTCAGCCACTTGGTCCTAGATTTCTCCCCACATTCTGCAGGGACCATCATCTTGAATCCTTTTTTTTGAGGCGGAGTTTTTGCTCTTGTTACCCAGGCTGGAGTGCAATGGCGCGATCTCTGCTCACTGCAACCTCCACCTCCTGGGTTCAGGCAATTCTCCTGCCTCAGCCTCCTGAGTAGCTGGGATGACAGGCACGCGCCACCATGCCCAGCTAATTTTTTGTATTTTTAGTAGAGATAGGGTTTCACTATGTTGACCAGGATGGTCTCGATCTCTTGACCTCGTGATCCACCCGCCTCGGCCTCCCAAAGTGCTGGGATTACAGGCGTGAGCCACCGCGCTGGGCCTTTGAATCCTTTTTATTTAGAGGCAGAGTCTTCCTCTGTCACCCAGGCTGGAGTTCAGTGGCAGGATCTCGCCTCACTGCAACATCTGCTTCCCAAGTTCAAGTGATTCTCCTGCCTCAGCTTCCCAAGTAGCTGGGACTACAGGCGTGTGCTACCACACTCAACTAATTTTTGTATTTTTAGTAGAGACGGGGGTTTTACTGTGTTGGCAGGCTGGTCTCAAACTCCCGATTCATGATCTGCCTGCCTCGGCCTCCCAAAGTGCTGGGATCTACAGGTGTCAGCCACTGTGCCCAGCCCATGAATCCTTAGTGTTGCAGAGTTTGGGGGAGAGGGGCTCTAAAGTGGTGGCCAGAGAGGATGTGAGGGATGTGGTTAGGTGAGGGGCTTACTGGAAGAGGTGAGGATTTGGGGTGGGCTTGTCTTGTGGCTGGACAGGGTGGGGGGAGCTGGAGGCCCCTTACTTTGACTGGGTGAGGGGGATTGAGGCTGGGTTGCAGGTGATGTTTGTTAATTCCCCATACCCCCTCCCTGCAGCCTTCCTCTCCTGGTTTCGAAATGGCCTCCTGGCATCGGGCATCGGGGTCATCTCCTTCATGCAGAGTGACATGGGTCGGGAGGCAGCCTATGGTGAGTGCACACTCCCCCTCTTGCCCCCTCTCTGGGATCCAGGGAATGCACATTCCCTGGCCCCTGCCCTGGTGAGGGTAGACTCCCTCCCCGTCCTATCCCCAGTAATAATATTCTTCCCCTGCCGGGTGACACCCCTCCCATGGGCACTAGGCCCACAAATGGGTGGCCCAGGACATGGCTATGGCCCCCTCCCCTCCGATCTGATTCTTAAAGGTGCAGTCCAGCGCCTGCCACTGTTCCTGGCTTCCTCCCCATCCTGGCTTAGCTCCAGCCAATCCCCCACACCCTGGGATACCTTTTCCTCCCCCAACCCCCCGACCTTGGGCCTGGCACTACCCTGCCTCTCCCGCAGGCTTCTTCCTGCTGGGCGGCCTGTGCGTGGTGTGGGGCAGCGCCTCGTACACAGTGGGCCTGGCAGCGCTGCGGGGACCCATGCAGCTGACGCTGGGGGGCGCGGCCGCGGGCGTGGGTGCCGTGCTGGCCGCCAGCCTGCTCTGGGCGTGCGCCGTGGGCCTCTACATGGGGCAGCTGGAGCTGGACGTGGAGCTGGTGCCCGAGGACGACGGGGCGGCCTCCGCGGAAGGCCCTGACGATGCGGGCCGGCCACCACCTGAGTGAGCCACACGGCCGCGGGGCCTGGCAGGCGCTGGACGGCGGTGCCCGAGGACTGGGACATTAAAACCTGACCTCCCCTCCTCCAGATGCCGAGTGCTGGTTCGTGTTCCTTGGGGAAGGGCGGCCAGGAGCGGAAACTAACCCGGGAGGCGGGAGAGGGAGACGAGGACCCGCGGGGAGACAGAAACGGAGGACAGAGGAGCTCACAGCCTGGAGCCCACTGCAGGGGGAGCCGGCGTTTAATTCTCGGGGCTACGGGCAGAGCAGGGCCGCCGTCCCGGTGGACCCCCAGCCTTCGCAGGGTCCAGCGCCCGCCGCTCTGCCAGTCCTCAGTCCCCCTTCCGCGGCAGCCTGGTGCCCGCAGACCCCGGGTAGGGCAGGCCCAGGGGAGGGTAAAAGGCCTCCGGGAGCGCGGGGCCTGGGCCCAGCCTCTGCAGATGTGGGTACACCAGGCCCAGCTCTGCCGGGCCGTAGCGGATGGCACCGGGTGTGCACAGACCCCGCACCACGGGCGGCAGGAAGCCCGCATGCAGGAGGGCGGGCGGGGGGTCCCCGGGAGGTGCCAGGCCCCACGGCCGCACTGGGTCCTGCTTCAGGGCCCCCGCCCGGATGACAGAGGTGAACTCGGGCCGCGGTGGGGCCGGGTGGCCGGAGGGATCCTCGTCGCCACTGTCCTCTGAGCCTTTGGTTTCCCTCGGGACGGGCTCCACTTTGATGCGTTTGCCCTGCGTCTGGGGGGTCTCCTTCTCCAGCGAGGTGGTCTCCTTCCCTTCCGTTGGAGGCTCCGGCTCTGGAAGAGGAAGATGCTGAGGGCTTGTGTGTGTGTCCCCAGCCCTCAGTCCTCCCATCTGTGGAATGGAGCTGTGCTCAGTGGGCCAGGCCTGTAGTTCTCAGCTTGGAGTGGTTTTTTTATTTTTATTTTTTAGGTTGGTCTTGCTCTGTTGCCCACTGGAGAGCAGTGACATGATCTCAGCTCTCTGCATCCTCCGCCTCTGGGGTTCAAGTGATAATTCTCCTGCCTCAGCCTCCCAAGTAGCTGGGATTACAGGCATGTGCCACCACACCCAGTTAATTTTTCTAATTTTAGTAGAGACGGGTTATCACCATGTTGGCCAGGATGGTCTTAAACTCCTGACCTCAGGTGATCGGCCCACTGGCCACATGTGGTCACTGTGCACACGAAACGTGGCAGGTGTGGGTGAGGACATGGATTTAAAGTTGTTTTTTTGCGGGGTTATGCCTGTAATCCCGGCACTTTAGGAGGCTGAGGAGAGTGGATCACCTGAGGTCAGGAGTTTGAGACCAGTTTGGCCAACATGGCAAACCCCATCTCTACTAAAAATACTAAATGAACCAGGCGTGGTGGTGGATGCCTGTAATCCCAGCTACTTGGGAGGCTGAGGCAAGAGAATCACTTGAACCCAGGAGGTGGAAACGACAGTGAGCCAAGATTTTGCCATTGCACTCCAGCCCGGGCAACAAGAATTAAATTCCATCACCCCCCAAAATAAATTTTTTTGAGACGAGGTCTCACCCTGTCACACAGGCTGGAGCGCAGTGCAGCCGTCACAGCTCATGCAACCTCTAACTTGCAGGCTTAAGCCATCCTTCCACCTCAGCCTCCCGAGTAGCTGGGACTATTTGTATGCGCCACCACACCTGGCTAATTTTTAAAATTTTTTGTTGAGACAGGGTCTATGTTGCTCACACTTTCGTTGTTGTTTTGTGTGGGTTTTTTTTTTTTTTTTTTTTTTTTTTTTTTTTAGGCAGTCTTGCTCTGTTGCCAGGCTGGAGTGCAGTGGTGTGATCTTGACTCACCGCAACCTCCGCCTCCTGGGTTCAGGCAGTTCTCCTGCCTCAGCCTCCTGAGTAGCTGGGATTACAGGCACAAACCACCATGCCCAGCTAATTTTTTGTACTTTTAGTAGAGACGGGGTTTCACCATGTTGACCAGGATGGTCTCGATCTCTCGACCTTGTGATCCACCCGCCTCGGCCTCCCAAAGTGCTGGGATTACAGGCGTGAGCCACTGCGCCCGGCCACCCACACTGGTCTTGAACCCTTAGGATCAAGCAGTTCTCTTACCTTAGCCTCCCAAAGTTCTAGGGTTATAGGCATAAGCCACCACACTTGGCCTCGATTTTTTTTTTTTTTTTTTTTTTTTTTTGAGACAGAGTCTTGCTCTGTCATCCAGGCTGGAGTGAAGTGGCATGATCTTGACTCACTGCAACCTCCACCTCCCGAGCTTAAGCTATTTTCCTGCCTCAGCCTCCTCAGTAGCTACAATTACAGGCATCTGCCACCACACCTGGCTCATTTTTATATTTTCAGTAAAGACGGGGTTTCACCATGTTGGTCAGGCGGACCTCAGGTGATCACCTGCTCAGCCTCCCAAAGTGCTGGGATTATAGATGTGAGCCACTGTGCCAGGCCCTAAGTTTTATACTCTTAGTAGAATCGTGGTTTCACCACGTTGGCCGGGATGGTTTCAATCTCTTGACCACATCGTGGCTGCCCGCCTTGGCCTCCCAAAGTGCTGTGATTACAGGCGTGAACCATCGTTGCCCAACCTGGATTTTAATGTACATATCAATGGCTGCCTGTGGCTAGCGGCTTCTGGACTGGAAAGCCAGGATCCAAAGATTCCTTGGTGTTTCCCAGGGGCAGAGGTGGGAGGTGGGGCTCACCTGTGGGCTCTGGCCCCGGGCTGGATGCATCCTCGCAGGTCATGCTGGCTGGAAGTTGGAAAGCGTCCAAAGGAGTTTGGCCACCCTCAGCTTGGCTGGGGACAAGATGGATGCACGAAGTTAGGAGCAGGGGTCTTTGGCCCTCCAGGGATCCCTCCTGCCCCTCCCAGCAAGTGTGGATACCCCGACGGGTAATGTGGGAGCCCCATCGAGGCATTTACAGGGTTCGTCACCAGATCCCTAAACTCCAAGTTGGTCTCTCTGGCCCAGCTTGGGCCTCTCTTCTAAGGCCAGATCTGTACAACTGGCAGCCACCTGGATGTTGTCACCTGGGTGTCCCCTGGCGCCTCATGCCCATCTGATGTCTGCGTCTTCCTTTCAAACCTGCTGTTCCTCTGCAGAGCCCAAATCCAGACCCAGCAAAGCCAGAGACCCGGGCAGAAGGTGATCTCCTCCCCTCCTCCCCCATAGGGTCGGGCACTGCCCAGGGCTGGCCCCAACCTTCGCCCTCATCCTCCAGCGCCCATCTCGTCCCTCAGTGCCTCCTCCCTTCATGGCAGCGAGAGGGGTCTCTTTTCCTTTTTTTTTTTTTTTTTTTCTGAGAAACGATCTCACTCTGTTACCCAGGCTGGAGTGCAGTGGTACGATTTCAGCTCACTGCCATCTGGGTTCCTGCCTCAGCCTCCTGAGTAGCAGAGACTACAGGTGCCCATCATCACGCCTGGCTAATTTTTGTATTTTTAGTAGAGACAGGGTTTCACCGTGTTGGCCAGGGTGGTCTTGATCTCCTGACCTCGTGATCCACCCGCCTCAGCCTCCCACAGTGCTGGGATTTCAGGCATGAGCCACTGCTTTCTTTCTTTCTTTCTTTTTTTTAGACGGAGTTTCGCTCTTGTTACCCAGGCTGGAGTGCAGTGGCGCGATCTCGGCTCACCGCAACCTCCGCCTCCTGCGTTCAGGCAATTCTCCTGCCTCAGCCTCCCGAGTAGCTGGGACTACAGGCGTGCGCCACCATGCCCAGCTAATTTTTGTATTTTTAGTAGAGACAGGGTTTCACCATGTTGATCAGGATGGTCTCGATCTCTTGACCTCGTGATCCACCCATCTCGGCCTCCCAAAGTGCTGGGATTACAGGCTTGAGCCACCGCGCCCGGCCCTCACTGCTTTCTACTCCAGCCCCAAGCACTACCTTTAGGGTTAGGCTGCTGCTTGGAGCCCTTCCTCTGCTTCAACACCCGTCCCTGTTTCTGGCTTCTTGCCATGAGTTGCTCTGCTCTGGGGGCTCCCCCTAGGAAGAGCCTGTTATGGCTCCCCAGACCCCAGAGTCAAGAGTCCATGGTCAGGCACAGTGGCTCACGCCTGTAATCCCAGCACTGTGGGAGGCCAAAGTGGGCAGATCACTTGAGATCAGGAGTTCGAGACCAGCCTGGCCAACATGGTGAAACCCTGTCTCTACTAAAAGTACAAAAATCAGGCCGGGCGCGGTGCCTCAAGCCTGTAATCCCAGCACTTTGGGAGGCCGAGGCGGGTGGATCACGAGGTCAAGAGATCAAGACCATCCTGGTCAACATGGTGAAACCGTCTCTACTAAAAATACAAAAAATTAGCTGGGCATGATGGCGCGTGTCTGTAATCCCAGCTACTTAGGAGGCTGAGACAGGAGAATTGCCTGAACCCAGGAGGTGGAGGTTGCGGTGAGCCGAGATCGCGCCATTGCACTCCAGCCTGGGTAACAAGAGCAAAACTCTGTATCAAAAAAACCCCCCCCAAAAAAAATACAAAAATCAGCTGGGTGTGGTGGCACATGCCTGTAGTCCCAGCTAACTCAGGAGGCTGAGGCAGGAGAATCACTTGAGCCCGGCAGATGAAGGTTGCAGTGAGCCAAGGTTGCGCCACTGTACTCCAGCCTGGGCAACAGAGAGACTCTGTCTCAAAAAAAAAAAAACTCTGGACCCTCCACCTGAGCCTGAGGAGGCTGTGTGCCTGCCCAGGCCTTCCTCAGAGATACTGTCCCCCTCCCCCTGGCGACTCCTCTGTGTCTCCCGCCAGCAAGACCGTTCCACTCTGGGCCTCTGCCCTCACCATCCTCCCCTCCTTCCCCTTCATGTCTGCAGACCTCACAGGCTTGTCCCGAACTACGAGCCCTCCCTGAAGCGCCCCCACCCGAGGTGGGGAGAGACAGCAGGGCCCTGAGTCCCCTGCAGGAGGGGTGGGCACAGCCCTTACCTGAGCACGTGGCTGACCCAAAGCACATGGTGCTCCCCGGGGCTCTTCCCGCTGCCAGCCACCGTGGCCACAGACTGCAGCCACACGAAGCCCCCGGTGCGCTGCAGCCAACGGTAGTAACCAGTCATCACCTGACCCTTGTCCAGCACTGGGCCCAGCCCAGGGGTGGGAG